ATTCCTGCCTTTATGTGTAACTCTTAAAGAAAACATAAAGAAAAAGAAAATTATTGATGTTCTAGTCAAAGTCATAGGTCTTTTGAAATACCTGAAAATTTATTAGAGTTTAAAGACATATGTGAGTGCTTCAACTCACTAGAAGGAAAGAAAACACATTCCCATTATTCTGTTTGAGTTAAAGAAATATCAGTTGGCTTAAATGGGAAAACAGAAACTTTCCTAAACTACTAGGACTCAATCAAGAAGAAATATTTGCACTGCTGTGTTGCAGATCTTCCCCTGCACAGGAGGACCAAACTTTGTAGCTATAACCGCTTATTAAATGTGACAGTCTGGGGCTATGTGTTAAGCTTTAGACGAGAGATTTTTAACCTGGATCTAATAGGTGAGTTGCAGGTGGCCAGTGATCCCCCTGAAAATACTTGCAGAGATATGTGTCTGTCTGTATGCAGTTTTCTACAGAGAATCTGTAGCATTACTCAGATTCTGAAAGAGATCCAGGACCAAAAACTATTAGAAACTACAGGCTTAAATCAATTTGAATATTTGAAAATTATTTTTTTAATTGAACATTAAGATGATGGGAATTGCTCGTATTATTTACAGTTTAACAACAAGTAAAATATTTATTTTCCTTTTTGTTTCAAGGAAAAGGAAGATGAATCATCAGATAATGATGAAGTATTTCATTCGATTCAGGCTGAAGTCCAAATAGAACCATTGCAGCCATACATTCCAAATCCTAAAGAAAATGAGGTAAGTTTCTCTACATGAGTTGCTGTGACACTAATAAGTGCCTGGAACAGTGGTCCTTAAACATTTTGGTCTCAGGATGTCTTTATACTCTTAAATATTGAAGACCCCAAAAAGCTTTTACTTAGTTGGATTGTGTCATTCAATGTATGATGTATTAGAAATTAAAACCAAAAAATTTAAAATATTTATTACTTCATTTAAAAAGTAAGAAAACTTAGATGGTAATATAAGAAACAAATTTTAGTGAAAATAACCATTTTCCATCTTGCTTAATGGAAAACAGCTGGATTCTCATATACGCTTCTGCATTCAACCTGTTGCCATATGTTGTTTAGGTTGAAGTATATGAGTAAAAGCTGACTTCTCACATATAGGTGGTTGGAAAAAGAGAATTTTTCAGATAATTGTGGATATTCTTTGAAATACACCACAACTAGAGAAGTGGAGTCCAAAACCATATCAGTGAAATTTTGAATATTCAGTAATATTAAAATCCATAAGTCTCTTGTGTGCTGTGAATAGATGTTTTGCTCATACACAATTTTGTATCTTCGTGAGTTGGTCAGTCGGAAAATATTGGTTCACTGTATATGTAGATCTTTCCAAATATTTACATGTTTTATTTTACAACACCAAAAAATGGCATTTTTAATATCAATTTCATCATAAAAATTGAGTATTGATAAGCTGTCAAATGCACAGTGATAGATGAGTTTAAAATTCTAATATTCAATTGAAAGCTCAATTTTATCATTGCTAACAACTAACATCAGTTGCTTTATCTTTGAATTGATAGGCTTACTTAGTTGATTTTAAATAAAATGCCTGGAAGATACCCAAGTTGAATAACTACAGTTTGTCTCATCAGTCATTCTTCTAAGTAAAAATATTACCCATGAAAAATTCAGTAGTTCAGCTTGTAACACAATCACACATACTTTTTCCCTTGATCATTTCTGTTTTGAGATGTAGTTTATGACAGGGTCTGGGCTATTTAATCTGTCACTTATTTTCTTAGATTCATGAGAATAAATCTAAGTCTTAGATTTATGGGAATAATCAAGTCAGTCCAGGTTGACTTTTGTTTTCACGAGTTTATTTATAGATATTTAGCACATGGTATTGGTGAGGACCAAGTAGCAGTTTCAGTTCCTGTGTGGACAAGGTAGTGTCATTATAGACAGCATTCCTTACAGCTAGCTATCTAAAAAATTTTTGGTCACTAAGGACAGATAGTTGGATGGGTGAAGAACTCAGAAATTCTTGCCTTACTCATAGTGAGTCATGAGTCTCATTGCTGTTCTTAATTAGGACAAGGCCCCAAGATCACTATATTTCCTCTTTCAAGATGCTTCACAGTAGTCCATTATGATGTATGTCATGGATAATCATCCTTCTTATTTTTTTAAATTTTATTTTATTTATTTATTTTTTATATAGCAGATTCTTACTAGTTATCTATTTTATATATATTAGTGTATATATGTCAATCCCAATCTCCGAATTCATCCCACCACCACCCCACCCCCCTTGCTTTCTCCACTTGGTATCCATATGTTTGATCTCTACATCTCTGTCTCTATTTCTACCTTGCAATCCGGTGCATCGGTACCATTTTAATAGATTGCACATAAATGCATTAATATATGATATTTGTTTTTCTCTTTTTGACTTACTTTACTCTGTATGACAGTCTCTAGGTCCATCCACGTCAGTACAAATGATCCAGTTTTGTTCCTTTTTATGACCGAGTAATATTCCATTTTATATATGTACCACATCTTCTTTAACCATTTGTCGGTTGATGGGCATTTAGGTTGCTTCCATGACCTGGCTATCGTAAATAGTGCTGAAATGAACATTGGGGTGCATGTGACTTATTTTTATATATTTTTATGTGTTTAATTTCATATCTGTACACATACACACACAGAAAGCCACGATAGATATTTTAAAACATCCTTTACATGCAGCTGTACATATTTTTTAACATCTTTATTGGAGTATAATTGCTTTACAATGGTGTGTTAGTTTCTGCTGTATAACAAAGTGAATCAGCTATACATAAACATATATCCACATATCTCCTCCCTGTTGCATCTCGCTCCCAGCCTCCCTATCCCACCCCTCTAGGTGGACACAAAACACCAAGCTGATCTCCATGTGCTATGCGGCTGCTTCCCACTAGCTATCTATTTTACATTTGGTAGTGTATATATGTCCATGCCACTCACTCAGAACTTCCCAGCTTACCATTCCCTCTCCCCGTGTCCTCAAGTCCATTCTCTACATCTGCCTCTTATTCTTGTCCTGCCCCTAGGTTCTTCAGAACCATATTTTTTTAGATTCCATATATACGTATTAGCATACAGTATTTATTTTTCTCTTTCTGACTTACTTCATTCTGTATGACAGTCACTAGGTCCATCCACCTCACTACAAATAAATCAATTTCATTTCTTTTTATAGCTGGGTAATATTCCATTGTATACATATGCCACATCTTCTTTATCTATTCATCTGTCGATGGACACTTAGGTTTCTTCCATGTCCTGGCTATTGTAAATAGAGCTGCAGTGAACATTGTGGTCCATGACTCTTTTTGAATTATGGTTTTCTCAGGGTATATGCCCAGTAGTGGAATTGCTGGGTTGTATGGTAGTTCTATTTTTAGTTTTTTAAGGAACCTCCACATTGTTCTCCATAGTGGCTGTATCAATTTACATTCCCACCAACAGTGCAAGAGGGTTCCCTTTTCTCCACACCCTCTCCAGCATTTATTGTTTGTAGATTTTTTGATGATGGCCATTCTGACCGGTGTGAGGTGATACTTCACTGTAGTTTTGATTTGCATTTCTCTAATGGTTAGTGATGTTGAGCATCATTTCATGTGTTTGTTGGCAATCTGTATATCTTCTTTGGAGAAATGTCTATTTAGGTCTTCTGCCCATTTTTGGATTGGGTTGTTTGTTTTTTTGATATTGACCTGCATGTGCTGTCTGTATATTTTGGAGATTAATCCTTTGTCAATTGCTTCATTTGCAAATATATTCTCCCATTCTGAGGGTTGTCTTTTGGTCTTGTTTATGGTTTCCTTTGCTGTGCAAAAGCGTTTAAGTTTCATTAGGTCCCATTTGTTTATTTTAGTTTTTATTTCCATTTCTCTAGCCAATGGGTCAAAAAAGGATCTTACTGTGATTTATGTCATGGAGTGTTCTGCTATGTTTTCCTCTAAGATTTTTATAGTGTCTGGCCTTACATTTAGATCTTTAATCCATTTTGAGTTTATTTTTGTGTATAGTGTTAGAGAGTGTTCCAATTTCATTCTTTTACATGTAGCTGTCCAGTTTTCCCAGCACCACTTACTGAAGAGGGTGCCTTTTCTCCATTGTATACACTTTCCTCCTTTATCAAAGATAAGGTGATATGTGCATGGGTTTACCTCTGGGCTTTCTATCCTGTTCCATTGATCTATATTTCTGTTTTTGTGCCAGTATCATACTCTCTTCATGACTGTAGCTTTGTAGTATAGTCTGAAGTCAGGGAGCCTAATTCCCCCAGCTCCGTTTTTCTTTCTCAAGATTGCTTTGGCTATTTGGGGTCTTTTGTGTTTCCATACAAATTGTGAAATTTTTTGTTCTAGTTCTGTGAAAAATGACAGTGGTAGTTTGATAGGGATTGCATTTAATCTGTAGATTGCTTTGGGTAGTAGAGTCATTTTCAAAATGTAGATTCTTCCCAATTAAGAACATAGTATATCTCTCCATCTGTTTGTATCATCTTTAATTTCTTTCTTCAGTGTCTTATACGTTTCTGCATACAGGTCTTTTATCTCCTTAAATAGGTTTATTCCTAAGTATTTTATTATTTTTGTTGCAAAGGTAAATGGGAGTGTTTTCTTAATTTCTCTTTCAGATTTTTCATCATTAGTGTATAGGAATACAAGAGATTTCTGTGCATTAATTTTGTATCCTGCTACTTCACCAAATTCACTGATTTACATTTACCAGTTTTCTGGTAGCACCTTTGGGATTCTCTATGTATAGTGTCATGTCATCTGCAAACAGTGGCAGTATTACTTCTTTCCTAATTTGTATTCCCTTTATTTCTTTTTCTTCTCTGATTGCTGTGACTAAAACTTCCAAAACTATGTTGAATAATAGTGGTGACAGTGGGCAACCTTGTCTTGTTCCTGATCTTATTGGAAATGGTTTCAGTTTTTCAACTTTGAGAACGATTTTGGCTGTGGGTTTGTCATATATGGCCTTTATTTTGTTGAGGTAGCTTCCCTCTATGCCTACTTTCTGGAGAGTTTTTATCATAAATGGCTGTTGAATTTTTTTGAATGCTTTTTCTGCATCTACTGACATGATCATATGTTTTTTCTCCTTCAATTTGTTAATATGGTTTATCACATTGATTGATTTGCATATATTGAAGAATCCTTGCATACCTGGGTTAAACCTCACTTGATCATGGTGTATGAATCTTTTAATGTGCTGTTGGATTCTGTTTGCTAGTATTTTGTTGGCAATTTTTGCATCTATGTTCATCAGTGATATTGGTCTATAGTTATCTTTTTGTGACATCTTTGTCTGGTTTTAGTGTCAGGGAGATAGTGGCCTTGTAGAATAAGTTTGGGAGAGTTCCTCACTCTGGTATATTTTGGAAGAGTTTGAGAAGGATAGGTGTTAGCTGTTCTCTAAATGTTTGATAGAATTCGCCTGTGAAGCCATCTGGTCCTGGGCTTTTGTTTGTTGGAAGATTTTTAATCACAGTTTCAATTTCAGTGCTTGTGATTGGTCTGTTTATATTTTCTGTTTCTTCCTGGTTCAGACTTGGGAGGTCATGCTTTTCTAATCTAAGAATTTGTCCATTTCTTCCAGGTTGTCCATTTTATTGGCATACAGTTGCTTGTAGTAGTCTCTCATGACCCTTTGTATTTTTTCAGTGTCAGTTGTTACTTATCCTTCTTCATTGCTCATTCTATTGATTTGAGC